TTTTGGTACCATATTCTTTTTTTTTATTTAAATACTTTTTAAAAGTGTTGATGAACCTTCATTTTATTAATTTATTTATATGTGGTGCTGAGAATCTAATCCAGTGCCTCATACATGCTAGGCAAGAGCTCTACCATTGAGCCACAAGCCCAGCTCTGGTTCCATATTCTTAAGAGCAATTTTGGAAAGTAAAATACCCCTTTATATATTTTCAAGTTGACATAAAACATTTTTATCATTTCAAAAATTACAAAGTCATTTCTGTAATATTAATAAATTAATTGTATTGGTTTAAAGTGCTTAATGAATTCTAACAATTGAATATATACCATCACTCCTTAACACATGAACAAAGTTTTATTTAATAGAATATTTGTATTATTTTGAATTTGCATTTTCATTATACTGCCCCATGTAATTTAATCTCAATATAGTTTAGTGCTTAAATGTCTTTTACTGCTACCTTAATCACATCTTTCAAAGTATATTAAAATCATATTTATTGAAATAATTTTTTTTCAAAACTTAAAATAATAATTCCAATGACTACAAATCTCCAAGTGTTGAAGACTGTTGTCTTCAACAACTACTATTCAATTGATAAAAATAATAGTGTTAATAATGCTAGAACGAGTTAATAGTGATTGTGTTACTATTTTAAAATCTCATTCACACATTTAAAAACGGATAGATAGGTGCTGTGGTTGTGGCTCAGTGATACAGCACTTGCCTAGTAACTGTGAGGCGCTGCGTTTGATCCTCAGCACCACATAAAATTAAATAAATAAAATAAAAGTATGGTGTCCAACTACAACTAAATTTTTTTTTAAAAAAAGGGATAGAAAAATATCTTGTCATAATGATGCCACTAAATTCTTGTACTCCTTCAAAGTTGTATGCTAAGTCATAAATTGATCTATCACCAAATTATTTTTATAGTCTGTTATTAACAATTCAAGGTTTTTTTTTTTCCATTTTGTTAAAAGCAAAGAACTGAAAACTACTCCTGCTGGGTGTAGCAGCACATAAATGTGAAGGCAGAATTTTAAACTCAAGGCTAGCCTCAGTAACTAATGTAACCTAGTCTCGAATTAAATTAAAAATGGTTGGGGATGTAGCTCAGTGGTAGAGCATTTGGTTAGCATGCACAAGGCGCTGGGTTCAAATACCTATACAAGAGGGAAAATAAGAAAACCAATCTCATAGAAGACCCCATTTTTTTAAGTAATGCTCAATTTCTTGGGAAGTTATCCAAAAGGCTTTACCGTGACTTATCTATGTCTTTAAGAGTCATCTTGCTTGTGGTACTTAAAACTAGAACAGAATAAAAGCACCACCATAACATAGGAAATTATACAAATTTCCTAGAGATAACTATACACACTAGAGATTTTATGACTGATAATTTATGAGTGAGAACAGAATATACATATTTGATAAGCTGATTTTCTAGTTGGACACACTATGTCCTAAACTATATTTTGAAGACATTCTCTCCTATCTTTTCAGTGTATATGGTACCTCATCAAACTAAAGACAATTTTATTATCTCAGAAATTGACATGTATCTTAAAATCGATAGCATAAGTTTAACTGGCAGTGTGTTTACTAACTTATCATTGTTAGGATTTGGATATGAGGTGTCCTGTGTTAATGCAGGAATATTCATAGGTAAAATATTGGACTGAGAGCTGTAACCTAATCAGTCCATACTAGTTTGAATGAATTAATTGGGTGGTTAATTGCATGCAAGTGGAGCATGGCTGGAGGACCTGGGTCATCGGGGGCATGTCCTGGAAGGGTTCATCTTCCCTGTGTCCCCTTCCCCTTTTTGCTTTCCAGATAGCATGAATGCAGCACTCCTCCATCATACCCTTCCACCATGATGTTCTGCGTCATCTTGGGCCCAGAGCAATGGAGCCAGCCCACTATGGATGGAATGTCAGTAACTGTCAGTTAAAATAAACTTTCCCTCTTCTAAGTTGTTCTTTTTGGGTATTTTGGTCACAGAGATGAAAAACTGATATATTATATAAAATAATGAATCTTATAATAGTCTTAGGTGAAAAATTTTAGAAATTAAGAACAAAAATGGGGAATGATATTGGCCAAGTTACACTGTTTGCCATGTACAAACATGTAACAACAAATCCACCATTGTGTACTAGGATAATGCATCAATAAAAACTATGGGGGAAAGAAGAAGAATGCATCAATAAAAACTATGGGGGAAAGAAAGAAAAAGTCACTAGTAAGTTATGAGGTATACTGATAACTACCATGTGTCTTCTAGTAAAAACCACAAAGTATTTGTTAATTTAAACCTAAATACCTAGTAGGAATGAAAAAAAAAAACAGAAATGACTGAGTATCAATAGCAGGATACTGGAGCCTACATAAAACAATACAGATCCATGGACACTAACAATGTACTGACAAAGGTTAATGAAAATATTTCTTTAAAATATGTTCCAGAAAGTATAAAATTACAAACTTACCTCTAAAGCATGTTCTTTTAACATGAAGATGTAATGTTAATATGACAGAAGTAAACATGGAACTTTTCTTCCTCCTTGAAATCATGCAAATTATGCTGAGACAGGGATCGAGACACATTTATCAGGCTCTTTATCATGATTGAAATGGTAGAAATACAGAAAGCCTGCTATACAGCAGATCAACCAAAACCAATCATGCTTTTATACAAAATTCAAATATTCTAATTCTTAGATGAAGCAGTCTTACCATTTACTTGTTGTCTATAAAGAAGTATTTTTGCTTTCATGTATGTTCATGTTCTTAGCTTTCTTTTCCCACAGTTCACCCGCAGAAATTGTTTTTTTAAATAGGAGATAAAAAGGCAATGTCAACAAACAGTCATCTCCTTACTTGACAGTATTTAAAAAAAAATATTTGTTTTTTTTTTTTTTTTTTAATGGTAGGTGGATACAGTAACCTTTATTTTTAAGTGGCCCTGAAGATTGAACCCAGTGCCCCATGCATGCTAGGCAAGCACTCCACCACTGAGACACAACCCCAGTCCACTTAACAGTAATTCTGAATTCTGAAGATTTCCACATGGAATTAATGTAACCCATTTCTAACACATATTTTGCTTCTTAGGGTTGTCAGAAAGGTCTGCTTAGGGTAAAGGGAAGGGACACATCTTGATGGGGTAATGGCAAGGTTCTGGAAGAATATGGGGAAATTTGAATACTGTTGGGGTAATTTTTGAGAAAAACAATATGGTACAGCTATATTTATTTTAGTTGTAGATGGACACAATACCTTTCATTTTATTTATTCTTATGTGGTGCTGAGGATCGAACCCAGGGTCTCAAATGTGCTAGGTGAGCACTTTACCCTGAGCTAGGACCCTAGCCTACCACAGATTTCTTTTATGAAATGGGAAAGGATAGAAAGTGGAACTAGTATTATCCCTTTACCATGGGCATATTCTTAGGTAGATCTTTTTCTAACAAATACTTCATATGGGAATTGAGGATCTGAATTTGGATTCTGTTAAAACTATCCATGCCTGCGTATTTCTTGGAAAGTAAAATACTCCCAGGAGTATGCATACCCTTGTTTGAAGACCCTCTCTGCAGTTTACATTGTCACCATTCTTTAATTATCTGAATTCCTAAGAAGCACACTCAAGGATTTTTTCAAAAAAGATGCTCAGCAATTCTATGAAGAATTCTAGAATGTGTATTCTGAAATATTAAATATCCAATCACTTTCTATTTTAAAGAATGATCAATTCCTTTCACTCAGCTAAACAAAGAATAGAAACTAACAAAATGACCAATGCCATAAGAACTTTGATTAGAGAATACAGTGATGATGGTGTATATACATTAAAATGTTTTCTTAAAAAAGTCAGACAAGGCCAAATCTCTGTAAGTAAATATTGGTAACTTGGCAAGAAAGAAATTTTAAATATATTTCACTTATAAAAGTACAGTAGTGAAATAAAATGCACAAAAACCATTAGAAGAGTTACATCTGAATGTCTTCCAAATATTGTATGAATACATTCACATAAAATTTTTCCTAATTTTCTTTTCTTTTTTTGAGACACAGTCTAGATAAGTTGATCATGCTGGCTTAAATTTTGTGATCCTCCTGCCTCAGCCCCCTGAATAGATGGGATTATAGGCACCTGCCATCATACCTGGCTTCCAAACTTTTTTTGGCCAATAATCCCAACAATCTCTAGAGACTGTAATAATTATTTCCAACTGTCATTTCCTTAAGATATTTCTTACCTATTAAGTTCAATAAAGCTATTTACAAAAGTATCCTATTTTTGTAGAGAATCAGTAATTTTATATAGTATAAGTTCATCATACATCATGATCTCAACATGGAAAGATGTTAGAGAATAAGAGCTTTTAAAATGCTGAGTGTAATTACTAATCTGTTCCTTTTATATACATGGAAATAGGCAGATAAATATCATAGTTATAATTAGAATTTCTATATTTACTCATCAAATATTTAGAGCCTACAAGTTTTTTTAAAGAGCGTATATTTTTAAATACTTTTTATTTTTTAAAATTTATTTTTATGTAGTGCTGAGGATCAAACCCAGGGCCTCCCACATGAGAGGCGAGCACTCTACTGCTGAGCTACAACCCCAGCCCCTAGAGCCTACAAGTTTTATAGGCACTATTCTAAAAACTGAGGACACAGGGATAAATGAGTGCTTACTATGTGCCAGGCCCTAGCCAAAGAGTTTCACATATATGAACCTATTTAATCTTCAAACACAACACCTCTGACAGATACTGTAAATTTCCTCATTTTACATATGAGAAAATTAAGGCACAGAGAAGTAAACTCATCCAGCTAATAATTGGTAGAAAGAGAATTTCCAAAGTGCTGGCTCTCCTGGAACTATCATTAATCTAAAATCCTTCCATTCTGTTTTGTCCCCATGAGAGACCCAATGAACTGAACATAACTGGGTATGGCTCAAACATTTCATTCTTAGATTTTTTTTTTTTTGCGGGGGGGGGGGGTTGAAACAAAATTTTAACTAGCTCTATCTAGTTTGTGCCTTCAAAACATCTAAAAAGATTTCATTGCACATTGTAAGGCTTGACTTTGTTTTTCATAATTGAGGAAATATTCATTTTTTTTACTTCCATTGTTATAGATACATACACATAGCTTTCCTTTCTTTAGGAAACCATTTCTCTACTCCAAGTAGGCTCAATGGGGCTAAAGATCACAGAACTGTCTTCTAATATCAGGTTGGATATGTTATTCAAGCTCAAGGGCCTTACTGCAATGGTCAAACTTAATTGGCTTAAGAGTACAAAACATGTCTGAGTATGACTTCTTCAAGACTGATGGAATTAAGAGATGCTCTTTTTGTGATGGAAGTTATTTGGGTTTGTTGGTAAATATCTTCTTTGGTTTCAAAAGTAAATAATTATAGTGATAAGAGATAGAAATTCAGATTAAATACATTGATCTACCTATGCATGAATATCCTTGTCTTTTCTGGTTTAATGAGTATAAACTTATTCTAAGTGGGGTTCTGTGATTTGAAATCAAGTTTCAATGTGTTTCAATAGAAGCATTAAATAAAATATGCATGTAGAACAATATAGTGGATACAAATAGAACTTTGCTATTTGCTTCCTTTTTAGGAATATAGAATTGTCTATAGCTAAAAGAATAGACATGAGATAGAAATAGTTTATCTAATTCATTTTCAAAAACAATTTGCAAAACATTTACCTATAAATTCTAAGTGATTACAAAGCATTATTTTAGTTATTCTACTTCTTTATCATACCACAAAACCACAATATAGCTACAAAGACAAAATGTTTTATTTTAAAACATTAGAAAAACATTTAAAAGACAAATGTCCATTATATAACCAGGAATGTTAAATATATTGAAACTGTAAGTCTAAATGTGATAGGCACTTTCAGAGAACTAAATACTGAAAATTATCCTACATTCTTCTCTAATAACAACACTTGATATAATGAAAAATACCAAGGCCCTACTAATTATTCAAAATCAACATCTTTGGGTTCAACTTATTTTCACAAGTAAAAGTTTTGTCCAAGATGTTCCTGACACATGAAGCTTCCAGTTGAATTTCAGAAATGTTAACAAAAGTATCTTCCTTTTTTGCCTGTGAATGTTTGAGTATTGCTGTATTGTTGGCTTATGTCCACTACAGATACTGGTTCTAGGCCAGCCCAAGGATCTTCAAGCATTGAAGGCTTGAAATAACTTTCCAACTCATTAGACATTCTTTTTTCTCTACCACGCCCTGATCCAAATGGTGTGGATGTCCTTGGAGAACCCTTTAGGAAAAAAATCATCAGTTAAAATAAAAAAAACATTTAGTAGAGGTAACTGGTTTTTTTTTTTTTTTTAAGGCTAATGGGGATCACATTGCTGGTTAAAAGCTGTCATATGAAACCAGGTATGTTCAATTGCTAAGTCCAAGTTTCCTTTAATCTAGTTTGTTTGTGTTAAAGGTATTTAAAAAAATTTAGCATACTTATTTAATAATAATTCCATGCCCACTGTCCCCTCAACTACTTTTTTGAGTTGCCAATGTAATAAATCTGCAATTATTGAAGACTAATGGTGATGAAATCAAGTACAAGCCGTGACAAAAGACTTTTTTTTTTCCTGGAGAAAAATTAATAAAACTTTTTTTTTTAACCCTACACATAACTTCTAAAACCTTTCTCATAGAAATTTACAACTCATTAGCTCCAGGCTCAAAGGGGTGGGGTTGGTTTAGCATATACAAAGTTGGAAAACACTAAGCAGAGCCAAGCCAAAGAAATCCTAGACACAATACTCCCGTCTTGTATTCACTGAGAAAAGGGAACTTCCACTATTACCGACCTTCCCTTGAGAGAATTTGGCCCAGAAGACAATGAAGCTCAAAAACAGAGTTTAAAGAAAAAAGAAAGAAAAAGTTGACAGTTGCAGGAAGATGGCAATAGCCTATAACCTAGAAAAGTTATATACTGGGATTCTTTCACTTTTGCCTCCCTCAGAGCCCAGTTGCTCAAAATACTTAACTGAAACGAACTGGTAAGGTCCAGAGCAAATAAGAGATAACGGAGAATTAGGGCAGCCTACTGGTTAAAAGCACAAAGGCTCTAGAGCAGAACTACAGCTCTACCATTTTTAGAATAATCTTAAAATACTTCTCTAAGCCTCAATTTACTCATCTGCAAAACAGGGCTAACAACAGTTATCTCACCTCACAGAGGATTAAACAAAATAATCCACACAAAGGGAATATTAGCACCATGCCTGCCATACAGTAAGAGCTCGGCAAACGCTGGCTATTATTACCTGGGGGTGGGTCTGCTGCTGCCCCGGGGAGTAGCCGAATTGCTGCTGGGACCCCGCGGGGGACTTGGAGTACGAGCCAGGGTAGCCGCCAGGAGACGGTGACCCGAACCGGCCCCCCGAGAAGCTGCCGCCGTGTCGCGGAGAGTGGCTGCTTCCGTAGGGCCTAGACCGGTGCCCGTAAGGCGGCGTGTGGTGCGGGCTCCCGTACCCGTCCCGAGGGGAGGGCGGCCGTGGTCCGCCCCCGCCCGGGGTACCCCGGAAGCCGCTCCCGCCACCCCAACCTCCTACACCCGGGGCTGGGTAAGGAGGGGTCGGGGGTCGAAAATTCGGACGATGCATTTCAGGAACCAAAGCCGAAGTCCTCACGGCCGCGTTCTCTCACCGGAACTGTGCCGACCAACCCGCCACAGATAACTGGTTGTCCTTTGCCAAAGCAGTCCTCCAGCTGCCCGCGCCCTACCGCGCTTGGGTTCCGACCTTATAAAGGTTCCGCAAAAAGCGGCAACATAAATAGATTACTGCACAGTGGGGAGATAAGGTAGATTCAAGTGAAGGAAAAAGGATAAAGGAAAAACGGAACACCCAGCCGAGCCAGCACGCTTCCAGAATGGCGGTCTTCAGGCCGACCTACAGGAAAGTAGTGCGCTCGGCTGAGGGCGAGACTTGGGTCGCACTCTGACCCGCCCTACTGGGGCGGGGCTTGGCGTGTCCGCGGGCGCCCCCAGTGGCTGCGGGTGGTACGGGCCTGGCTCACACCCGGACTCGAGACATCTGAGAAGTGCGCGATGCAGGCGACGCTTGCGAGGGTGGCGGCTCTGCGGAGAATCGGTCTCCTCTCCGGCCGGGTCGGCGGGAGGGGGCTGTGGACAGGCCGCCCGCAGTCAGGTACCTTCTAAGACTCTGTCCGGGCGGCAAAAGGTGCCCAGCCCCAGGTTTCTACCGCGGGGTGTCTGCGGAGAGCGTCCCCGTCCAGTCCTCTGATCTTTCTCGCCTCCTGGCGTCCTGGCTTGGTGGCTTGGCAGTCGTCTTCGCCAGCTCTCCGGGCTCCGCGGGTCCTCGGGTCGCCTTGCTTGGTAGCCACTTTCCAACCCCCGACTCCGGCCTAAGGGCTCGCCACTGCGGGCGCGTTCCCTGCTCGGTCACACTTGGCGCTCCCCTTGATGCTTTCCTTTACTCCTGCCTTGCCCCCAAGTTTAAATACTTAAAAAGTATACATTATTATTATTACTTTTTAAAGTACGCCTAACGCTTAGCTGCATTTCAGAAAGCAGCTCTCTGCTTTGAATAACTTGAGAAGCTGTAGTAAAACAAATGAACAAATGCTGGACTTCACCCTCTTCGTTTCAGTTCTCTCTAAAAGGGAGATAGTCAGGGAGAAGGTTAGGAAGTAGACTAATTTTCAAAAAGAGCAAAATGTGGCCAAAGCTCTTAAAATCTTGATTGTTTTATAAAGTTGTGGTTAGAAAAAAAAAGTGTAATATTTAAGAATGACACTTCATGTATAATAAACACGACTTTGTATCAGATGTCTGTTTCAGAATCTTATTTAGAGGATGAAATTTAGGTTTACTACTGTTTTATAAATCTTTCTTTACTACCTCAGAATGTGGTAATAGGGATCCACTCTGAATTTTGAAATCTTAACCTTAAGACTCATTAAATCACAGCCTGATGGGTAGCTGGGACCCATGCTTTTCATTGTTCTTCTTTCAGTCTCTTTGACATGTTCTGTGACATGCCTTGTTGAAGAGCGTGATGTCTTCTAGGCTTCCATCCTCCTTGATGAACGGAGATTTAAACACAGACTTTTCGTTTTTTGTGGTTTATTCTGGACAAATTCCATGGTTCACCTATATTTCTTTTCTCCTGTAGACATAAATTGTAGAGTCATTTAAGGTAAGAAAATGCCATCAAGGCATAGTGATGGAATTAAGCCTTGAGGACTCCAGTTTATCCACATTATTATAGTCCTGTCCTGGCTAAAAATCCTTTTTTTTTTTCCCAACCATCCTGCTTAACTTATTGTCCTGTACTTGAAGACTCAGATCTTTATTGAATAAAAGCTGGGGATGGCAGAGGCCTTCCTTAGTGTGGGCAAAACCCTGGGTTCAATTCCCAGTACTGCAAGAAAAATAAAATGCTGTCTTCCTCTCAAGTTTAAATACTTAAAAAGTGTACATTATTAAAAAAGTACTAATTTACTGAATAAGTCACATACATCATGTAGATCAGTGATTCTCACCTTTTTTGTCATCAGTCTACATTATGGAGGGGCCAGAGAAGTGAAGGTAGTGAGGGAGTAGAGATCAGAATTACCTTTTTTTAAAATAACTTCAAGTGATATAAACAATTTGGTCTCAACTTTGTTAGTAAGGTAATATAAGTAATTTTTAAAAAAACTTGGCTTATGCTTCGGAATGTTTTTAGCTTTTACACATATTAACTTGCATTGGAAATGGGAGAGGGTTGGGGTTGTAGTTCAGTGGTATAGTACTTGCCTGTCATGTGTGAGTCATTTATTGGGTTCAATTCTCAGCACTACATATAAATAAATAAAAATAAAGGTCCATCAACAACTAAAAAAATTTTTTTAAAAAAGATAGTATGGGGAAGAAATATAGTGGAAAATTTTGACAGGTAGATTATGCATGACTGTTTGCCTCTCAGCACATTTACAAGTATATATGAGGACTGAGGGAGAATGAATTCTTAGTAATTATATGAAACTCCAGATCCAGTTGGTACTCTTCTGAGACTAGGCTACTTTCTTCTTTACAGATAGGAAATTGTCCAAGAGAAGTTAAAATGACTTGCCTAAGTTCACAAAGCAAGCAGAAGTAGCACTAGAACTGAAGTTCCAAGAATTTCAGGCAAATTTGCCTCCTAAGAAATATAAATTGATAAACATTGCATCCTTTGAAAAATGCAGTAGGTAAAGAAGCATGTAGAATTTTGAAAGTGGAACTACTGTGCAGCTTTAGATTTAGAGATTAGTAGACTTAACCTTAACTATTGAATCTTTATAAGTATAGCCAGGGTGTTGTCATGTTTTTACCAAGGAGTTAAAGTCTAGATGTCTGAGCTGGTGGGCATCAGTTCCCCCAGCATTTATCTGTATTGAATTTCTTTGTGTGGAGGTGAGCTTAGGGGAAGAGAGATGAAAGGGAAGGGAGGAAGGATCAGTGACTAGGTGCTATCTTCAAATGGCATTGTGTACAGAGGGATCAGTAGGTAGAAAAACCTCAAGAACTTTCTGAACATCTGCCTGAGGAACCCCCCCAAAATAATTGGTTAACTTAGTGGTGGTGATGTGTTTTAGAAGTACTTCATTAAAATATGAATACCAAGACAAGGAAATTTAAGTATAAATGTAAATGGGCTCTTGTCTGTTTTTATAAAGCTGTGGATCTTTATTTATATCTAAGTTTTTTTGTGTGTTCATTTTTGTGGGTTTCAAAGTTTGTTTTTTTTTCTTCATAGAGCTTTATCTTTTTAAAAATATATAGTTTTAGTTGTTGATGGGCCTTTATTTTATTTGTTTAAATGCAGTGTTGAGAATCAAACCCATGGCTCACACATGCTAGTCAAGTGCTCTACCATTGAGCTATAACACCAGCCCACAGAACTTTATCTTGAACAACAACAACAACAACAAAAATACTTGGACGCAAAAGAGCTATTTGTAAAGCAGGAATTAGGGTCCCAGAGCCCTGCTTACTCTATACCCCTACATTTACTATCCTCTGCCTTCCACTATTACCAAAGAGGCTCTGGGGCCCCTCTGAAGAATTCCTAGAGCTCTGTAGAAAGGGTTTGAATACCACAATCTGAAGTAGGTGTCAGGTATTAACCAGTGCTACAAATACATATACTTTGATTAGTTTTTACTAAGTAATATGGAGAAATAAATATTTCCATATTTCTTCATTGTCAGGGCTTTCTAAATTAAGAAAACTGGAACCGGGTTAAAGGATAAGCTGTGAAAGTTAAAAGATGACTGAATAGCTAGTTGAAGAAATTCTAGGAGGTATATGTTTATATTTTAAAAGATATGAAATCCAGAGCCTTGGAGACAATGCCAAGACTGTAAATCCAGTATGCTTGTTTTATCTTCCCCCTGGAGACATTTATTTATATTCAAAGGGTTAAGAACCCAAGGGCTTTCTTTTCTTCCTGAGGAGAATTTGTTTACCTTAGGTAGATTTAGCCCTCTCCTTTGTAAGGTAACAGTGGCAGTTAGATAATTATCCTGTACAAACTCCCAGATTCACAATTTTGGCATTCCTTTCCTGTGGTTCTGTTCTTCCAATGTGCAGGCCTAACCAAGGGGTTCTCATTCCATCATCATGAGGTATTAGGTGTGGGGAAACGGTGCATTTCTTGATGTAAGGCATAATAACTCTCATCTGGGCTGCAGAAACCTTGTGTTTACTTTCATCTTGTAAATAAATGCAGAGATTAAAATTTATCATGTATTTTTGATGAACACTTCTCAGCATGTACTTACTTTCTTAGAAATTATTATGTGTACACTTAGAGCATGATTTTTTTTTTCTTACCTGTGGCTCTACAAAGTAC